ATGTCTTTATGAATGTCGAGAACTGTTGGCTTGTTCCACTTATTTTCATCAGACATGACACAGTTTAATGAGTTTCCACCCTATTGCCTTGCATTTCCATTACTGCAGTCCTATGATGCAATTGAGAAAACTACTACCTAATACTGATTTTACACTTGATCTCATTTTAGTTGGAATTTCATTATTGTCACACCCCTGCCTAACCCCCGAAGTACGTAATTGTCCAAAGGTTGAAATGATTTGAATCAATGGTACTCTTCTACATCATAGAGATAGATTGTATTGTTTTTATGGTTTACATTTTCAATGGTAATTTCAAAATGTCATTATGATAGCACAATACTGAATTAATGAAGATCTTGTGTTTTTATGGACAAATATGAATGACCCAAGCAAATTTCTTTATTTCAAATTGAATACTATTTTCCTCAGTAATGACTGTCTCAGTCATCTTATGCTTGTCATACTGTAGGAAGCACGTTGTTCAACAATTTTTCTGCAGACATATTTTGGGAATGCAACTGCAACTGAGTTATTCCACTTTACTAGTGAAATAGTCATTGAAATGATTAGCAATATCGAAAGGTTTTGTTATAAATTACCCATACATTTCAATGAACGATGGACATTAATTGGGTTTGATATAATTTATGGTACTCCAAAGTATTTTTCCAATGTGTGTTATGTTATTTATCTTGGTTTGGTAATATAATTTCTTATTTTTGTTAAGTTCAGTCACAAAATGTCTCAATTTACAGTATGTCAACCAATCAGCTGAGCAGAGGTCATCTAAAATAGTTGTTCTTTGTACGGGGACAGTAAACACATCAGTGTGTCATACACATGTATTTATGGCTCATTTTAAATGTAACCCTCTCACCAGGCTCGAATTTGACTCTCACAATATTACCTTATTTAGAATATCTGAACAGCATTCTCCAATAAGAATCCCTATTGTAAACTTGCTAGGGTGAATAACAAATAGGGTATTAACTTCAGATAGAATGATTATAGACTTGGTTATTATTATAAGGATATGCTTTCCCATGCATTAAATGAAACAGAAACAGTAAATGACTCCACCAATACAACAGACATAAGGTTCAATATCTACATTAATCACATGTTCAATGTATCACATCAAAAGAAATAAAAATAATAAACCCCAATGATTTTTCCACAACCCATGTCCAAATTATTTGCAAGCTTGCTTAAACCCTGGGCGCGCGTTGGAGCTCCTAAAAAAAAAATGACGACATACATAAAGTCCCGAAGTCCACCCCACATTTGTAGTTACTCACTACTTGTAGATAATGCCTCAGCAAAATATAGTAGTTCCGTGCAGGTGTCCTCACAAGATCCACAGCGAACACAGCTATCAATGCAGCCAGTACTCCGTAGCAGCAACAGACATCCGTTGGAAACCCGAACTCGTTGATCGTCACAAGCAATTCTCTCCAAGTCTTGCACGATGCTAGGCTAACCTCTAGGACAGGGGTGTCAAAGGTCCGGCCCGCGGGCCGGATCAGGCCTGCAAACGGGTTTAATCCGGCCCGCGAGATGATTTTGTAAAGGATAAAAATGAGCTGCAATTTTTCAATAAAATAAACTGCTGTTCCAATTGTGTCCACTGGATGGCGCAATAGAAATTGTGTTAAGCAAGCAAACTGTTTATACCGGGGCAGAGCAAATAGGTCAAGCAAGTGCAGCCAGTCCGGATGAGCTACTTTGTTTTGCCCGCGATATTTATTACGGCTTCTACTTTTAACATTATGTGCTTTGGCACCCTCATTGCCCCAATATGTCTCTGTCAAAAAAGAGAAAAGTGGACGCAGAGTGCAGAGTGTTCCAAGAAAAATTGTCATCCTTCTATTTATTCACGGAATTGAATGGGAAAGCTGTATGTTTGGTGTGTTCACAGCATGTTGCAGTGCTGAAAGAATATAACCTTCGTCGCCACTATGTGAGTCTTCATGCCGACAAATATGACAACTTTCAAGGACAGCGGAGAAGAGAGAAGGTGAATGAACTGTTGGCGGGTCTGAAGAAACAGCAGTCTGTGTTTACTCACAGCCGAGACATCAGTGACGCTGCAGTGAAAGCTAGCTACCTCATTGCTAATGAAATCGCAGTGGCTTCAAAACCATTTAGTGAGGGTGAATTTGTAAAAACATGCATGATGAAGGCAGCGGAGATTGTGTGCCCTGAAAAGCACCAGGCTTTTGCAAATATCAGCCTGACAAGAAACACAGTTGCAGACAGGATTTCCGATCTTTCAGTGGATTTGGACAGCCAGTTGAAGCAAAAAGTAAAGTAATTTATTGCGTTTTCGGTTGCAATTGATGAAAGCACGGACATTACAGATGTTGCACAACTGGCCATTTTCATCCGCAGAGTTGATGACACATTGACCGTCACCGAGGAGTTCGTGGAGTTGGTGCCGATGACAGATACAACGACAGCAGCTGATATTTTCACTGCACTCGTCAGCGCGCTGGACAGGGTCGGAGTGGACTGGTCCCGCGCTGTCAGCCTGGCTACAGATGGTGCGCCCTCAATGATCGGGAAAAAAGCAGGCGTTGTGACAAAGTTCAGAGAGAAAGTGCAATCTGCAAATGGAGGACGTGATTTTTGGACTTTTCACTGTATTTTGCACCAGGAGGCTTTGTGTTGCAAGTCATTAAAGATGGATAACGTCATGAAGGTGGTTATTATTTTTATTATATTATTATTATATTATTATATTATATTATTATTATATTATTATTATTATTATATTATCCAAACTGTTAATTTCATCCGATCCAGAAGCCTGAATCAACGTCAGTTTGACAGCCTTCTCAGAGAGAAAGACCACATCTATGGCCTGCCATACCACACTGAGGTAAGATGGTTAAGCCGAGGTGCTGTGCTGAGGCGTTTTTTTGATTTACGAGAAGAAATTGAACAGTTCATGGAAGAAAAGGGCAAACCAGTGTTAGAATTTCATTCCGCAGAATGGATGCAGGACCTTGCATTTATGGTGGATGTTACAGAGCACCTGAATAACTTGAACAAACAGCTGCAAGGGTGCAACAAAGTTGCCACGCAGTATTATGACAGCATACGTTCTTTCAAGTTGAAGCTGTCATTGTGGGAGACGCAACTCGCCGGTGGTGATGCAGCTCACTTCCCCTGTCTGAAAAATGTGTGTGCGACCCAACATGTGGCAGACATGAAGCGGTTCAAAGATAAAATAACGGGACTGTTAAGGGAGTTTGAGCGACGCTTTCAGATTTTTGGTGAACTGGAGAAAGACTTCAACGTTTTTTGTTCGCCATTAACCGTGAATCCCTCTGATCTGCCCGTCAGCATCCAACTTGAAATAATATACTTGCAGTATGACTCGGATTTGAAGGGCAAATTTGCCGCAGCTGGCTTGGACACATTTTATCAGAATCTCTTGCCAGGTTACCCCAACTTGACAGCCCTCGCTGCAAAACTGTTGTGCATGTTTGGAACCACATATCTTTGTGAGCAAGTTCTCTGTAATGAGCATAAATAAAACAAAGCTGCGCTCAAGGCTCACGCACAAGCACTTGAATCACATCCTGAAGTTGGCTGCCACTCAGGATGTGACGCCTGATATTGATGCGCTGGTGAAAGCTAAAAGATGCCAGGTATCAGGAGTCAAATAAACTATGCAACCCCACTTAAAGTGCTGCATGAGACACCCTGATATAGTTCTGTGATCTGTGATATACTTCTGTGAATCACTGAGGCATTGTGTGTTTGTGTGTTGTTTGTCCTCAGAATTTCAAATAGCTTGAGGTGTTTTATGATTAATAGTGATGTTGTGCTTTTGGACACACTGTCCTCAGGCTCCAGCTTTATGTTTATATGTTTTTATGTTGATGTGCTATTGTTTTTAATTGATTTTATTTTATTTGTATATTTAACCTATTCTTGACTCTGTGGTTCTTGCACTTGTTTGGGGAACAGGATTTCATTATTTGTATCTACATTTCTGCCTGAGAAATGACACCCTGATATAGTTCTGTGATCTGTGAAACAGTTCTGTGAATCACTGAGGCATTGTGTGTTTGTGTGTTCTTTTTCTTTAGAATTTTCAAATAAACTTGAGGTGTTTTATGATTAATAGTGATGTTGTGCTTGTACTATTTTGGACACACTGTCCTCAGGCTCCAGCTTTATGCTTTATGTTGATAGTATTAAAACAAAGAAAACAATCTGAAGTTTGTTGTTTTAAAGTTATATATACCATGATTTTACCGGTCCGGCCCACTTGGGAATACATTTTCCTCCATGTGGCCCCTGAGCTAAAATGAGTTTGACACCCCTGCTCTAGGATGTCGAATGTCTCCACAATGCGACGGCAGCTTCAGTCTCCACTTGGTCTTTCTTAACGAAATAATAAACACTCTCTTATATAAATAAAATCAGGATTTCCCTTAAAAAAACTCTGTAGGTATGGTTTTGTTCTCTCTTTATCGTTTCCTTTGGTCGTTTTTCCTTCACCAACCCCACTAACGTCTCTCCTCTCCCTTCTTTCAACCTTTCCCTCTCTTTTCTTTCCCAGCAACCAGTCCACTCTCCCATTGGCCACAACTTAACAAGTTACCTCATTGGTCAAAACTTTAACGAGATACGTGGGAAACTTAAACTTAAAAGTAAACCAACCTATTCACTTGTACATTTAAAAAAAAACATTGCTTCAAAAGAAAACCATTAATGACATTACAAATCAGGAGCTATTTGATCACCTTTTAAATCTAATACCAATGAATTATAACAAATAAACTCTATACTTGGTTTTAGCAAGGTATTACATAAAATAAAGTATTGTTTTTTCTCATTACAGAGCAACAAAGATGGGAAGGTCTTCTTGTTTGCGTGAGGCAACAGCTTTACTTGTGATAGGCATTCTGTGCTTGGTCATAATTTTTAGTAAAAAGGACATTCCTCCTGATGAACCCTCTGACCATGTCCACATAAACAGAATGGAATCAACCTATCAAAACAGACCTCAGAAACCAACCAGTGAGAGCGCAGGTGTTTTCACCTGGGGCCATTGTGAACGGAATGAGTCTGCGGCCAATGTGTCAGGGTTTTCCTCTCTGCCTGGTCACATCCAAGACTTCCTCTTCTATCGTCACTGCCGCCACTTCCCGATGCTGCTGGATGTACCTGATAAATGTGGAGGCCCTCACAAGTCTGCTGATGTCTTCCTTCTGCTTGTCATAAAAAGCTCACCTGTGAATTATGACCGCCGTGAGGTACTACGGAAAACCTGGGCCAAGGAGAGACTGCAAAATGGAATGTGGATCCGCAGGATATTTCTCTCTGGAACAACAGGCACAAGCTTTGAGAAGCGCAAACTAAACAAGCTTCTACGACTGGAGAACCGTGAGCATAATGATATCTTGCAGTGGGACTTCAACGACTCCTTCTTCAACCTCACCCTGAAGCAAATCTTGTTCTTAGAGTGGATGGATAAGAACTGCCGCCAGGCCAGATTTATCTTCAACGGTGACGATGATATCTTTGCCAACACAGATAACATGGTGGACTACCTTCACAGCCAGAAAAACAAAGATGGTGACAAGCACCTTTTTGCAGGTCATCTAATCCGCTATGTAGGACCCATTAGAGAGACAGGGAGCAAATACTATGTCCCAGTCCAGGTTCAAGAGTCAGACTCATATCCCCCTTACTGTGGTGGAGGGGGCTTCCTGCTCTCTGGATACACAGCTATAGTCATTTACAAAATGTCCCATACCATTCCCATTTTGCCAATTGACGATGTCTACATGGGAATGTGTTTGGAAAAGGCTGGTCTTAGGCCAGAGTCCCATTTTGGTGTCAGAACTGCTGGACTGCATGTCCCCTCCCAGAAAGTGGACGCTTACAACCCTTGTTATTACAGGGAAATCATTTTAGTACACAGATTTCTGCCCCATCAGATATATATTATGTGGCATGGAATACATGAACCTAACTTGAAATGTGGGAATTTGCAAGGTTCACTATAACCCTTGAAATCAGTTGCCTGCTCAGGTTTATTTTTCCAGTCTTTTTTGACAAGCTAATACTGAGGTGTGATCTCTCAAAGCAGGTTTTATTCCTGCTGTATTCATGCAGCTGTTTGGACAATGCCGGATCTATTGACATATGCCAGGTTACTGTGAAATTTGACAGCTGGCATTGTTATTAATGTAAATGATTGACAACACATTATTGATTTATAATTTTCCCCAAAAAAGGGGTAGACGTGTATACCTGTTATACTATTTATTATACTTTAATGGGCAATTGATGTCCATTTTGTTTCACTCTTTCTTTCCACTGCCTTCTGCTTTTTTGTTTTTGACATTTTATCTGAACACTTTGCCTAGTGTAAACCACAGTGCCTCTTGAAGACCTCACCACCCACTAAGCTCAGAACAAATCTGAAGATCAGATAGCAAACTGTTGTGGTTGACTGCAAAATAGCAATATGTTAGACAGGGCATTCTTTGTCTTTAGGCAGGCTCTGTTTGTTCTTTGTAAATGTTTTCTTGAAAATGTTCTCTTTTTAAATGAATAATCAGAGGATGAATACCTGTGTGTCTTTCTGTGAATCTAATGCTGACTGCATGTTTATAGAATATCATTTTATATCCATTTGTGTAACAATGTTGTTGCAAATTGCATGTGTGATTTATTTATTTTTAATCACACACTCACACACACTTTTCAGGCTACTTGATGAGCTTCCCTGGTGTTTTCCAGAACTTTCCAATTATGAAATGATGATGCATTTCAGTCACTTACTGATGCAAATACCCTATAAATTGTTACACCTTTCCCGTTTCAAGTCATTTGACATCTTTTCTTATTAGCCTTATAAACATAGAAACAATGTTTAAAAATGCCATAACTGTTTCTGTAGCAATATACTTGATCTTAAACCACTATTGTTGTCACGGTTTCGGCCGAGGCTGCCTCTCTTCCTTGCTCGGGCAGGCTTCGGCGTTCGTCGTCTCCGGAATACTAGCTGCCACCGTTGCATGTTTCTATGTTCGTTTGCTTTTGTCTGATTGTTGTTACACCTGTTAGCGTTTAGTGTAATTAGTGTCCTTTAAGTTCTCGTTGTGTTTGTCTAGTGCTGTGTGTGATTGTTTTACTGTCGTGCCGGTAGGCTGTATTTCTACTGTTTGCTCGGTTGAGCTATCTCTCCATTGTTTGGAGTGTTTTTGTCGCACCTGTTAGTGCGCCCGTTATTTTCGCCTACGTGCGGAGTTTCGCCTCAGGGCGTTTGTTTGTGATTGTTTTTCGTGTGCTTCAACTAAAGTCTGTTGGACTAACGTTCTGCATCCTGCGCCTGATTCCACCACCACACCCACCTACATCTACCTTGACAATTGTTTGTTAGTGTCAGAGTAAAATGTCATTTCGGTCATTTGTGTGGTATTAAAAAAGATCTGTCTAATGTCTCCAGTCATGTAAAACTACGTACAATTGCATGAAATAATTTGAAAAAAAGGCCATTCTTTCCCAGACCCGCTAATAATAGATGCATGCAATGCTTTATTATAAAGGTGATTTTTGGAGGGTTTCCAGGTTCCCACTTCATTGATATTGCAATCTAACCATGTCAGAATCAGATTCTGAACATGGCCCTGGTGGGTAACGCCCAGCGCTAAGGACCAAGTGTATTTATAATTTACAGAGGGAGCCAAGGCAACTCCAAGACGTTCTGTCAATAGGACGGAGGGGGGAAAATGTTAAGCTATGGTTAAACCCAGCACTCAGAGAAACAAAACACGACTAAGGGAGTGGAAGAAACAAAAATTATTTTAATAAAAGTTCAATTTGTCTTAGTCCAAAAACAACTGAAGAAAAGGAACAGAGTGGGCTAGTCGGCTCCGGAGGAAGGAGAGGCTGAGGCAGGCAGGCAGGCAGGCAGGCAGGAAGGCAGGAAGGCAGGCAGGCAGGTTGGGAGGTATGTCTGAACTGAAGACAAAACAAACGACAGGTTAAGGAGAGTAAAGAGCCAGGCTGAAGACAAAGACAATTTAACTCTACTACTGGTGAGCCAAGTTACCGCTCTAGTAAGAACAACGATCTGGTGCCGGTGGAGAGCCATGCCCAGGAATTAGTAGTGCAGGTTGATGAGAGAATAGGATGCAGCTGCGTAGGCAGGAATCACTGGAAACAACCCGCAGCTGCACCGGAGAGGCAGATCCTGAGCACGCCCCCCGATCCACTCCAGACACACACCGGCAGACGCACCAACATAATGGGGACAAACACACGTACAGATACAACAGACAAAGAGGGGACAAAACAAGGAGGAAGGGAAACAGAAAAGGGAGAGACAAGCTGCCCACATAACAGAAAAGTTAAGAGACACCGTGCCGTGCATTGTAAATATGGAGATATGCTTTTCTATGGCAATGAATTAGTTGTATAAATTCACCATACTACAAATACATATAGGTTACTATATTGGTTTGTTTGTAGGCATATCCTATATGAATATAATCACTAAAAAGTAATTATTTGTGCCAGCTCAATATTATTCATGCGAACAAACAAAAAACTGCTTTTGGATGATCCAATACAATTAGAATAAAGTCGTGCAGATCGATAGGCTAAGCTACCCAGAGAGAAGTTAAGGAACTATATGCATGCCTAACAGCGCAATACCTGCTAGTATAGAGGATATTTGTTTAATTACTGTGACAGAGGTAAATGTGGTTATTATAATAAATTGTTAGCCTATAAATTCACTGTTGGATAACATTTATTAAAATAGCCAATTCTGTGGTGCTGGTTTTATAACGGGCATACTTTCAGTTTGCACACGACTGACTGGGGGACACGCCTTTCCTCTTATTGTCAATAAATGAAAGAAATTCACCAACACTGGAACACTGTCACACTCAAATTGGTTAGTAGCTTAATATGTATATCTCATCATTGTAATTCTACAAGCACTTGAACAGTGGGTGTGTGGACATAGTTTGTCTGTCAACAGGGGCAGAGTGGGACCAGAAATCTGCTCTGGCATTTCTAACATACCGGCCCATTTCTTTCCTTGAAGCCCCCTCAACAGACAATTTTTTCCCTCAAGGCCCCCACACTGGCCCATTTTATTCCTTGAGGCCCCCATTACTAACCAGATAATTAAAATTTTAGACAGGCCCACTAAGATAAAAATGGACCAGCCCATATGACATTTGCCCGAAAAGCCAGATGGCCAGTCAACCCCTGTTTGTCAACATCTAGTCTTGGAAATCCCAGACCTTATGGGAAACAGCACTATGTAGGCCTATGCATGTATGCAGCACTGTGCATGTCAGAATATTGTTAATGTGGGAGGCAACCCGTCTTCCTAGGAAGACTAGTCAACATCCAGTATTTTCTGTACCCGCACCCCAAATGTAGTGCATTTGGTAAATTTCCTGGTGACACTATAATTTGTATTTGTATTTAATCTTTATGTAACCAGGAAGAAACCCATTGAGACACAGGGTTTATTTTGCAAGGGAGACCTGGCCAAGAAAGCAGCAGCAGTCAATAAACATACAAGTGACTTTTCATAGCAGGTTAGGAATGCATTTTTGCTAACCCTAACCCTATAACACTTTTCCTAACCTTTACCTAATTCTCATAACCTGCTACGTTAATTATCCTAACCTGCTGCATAAGTTCTGCTAACCTGCTCCGAAAAAGTCGTAGCTGTATCGAAGTGGCGTGTTTTTAGGGAATCTCGGTTGTTTTGACAGTGCCGAAGGTGGAACTGTGTTAGAGCTGTCAAATCCACAAGCGGCTCCTGGCATTAGGTCTATACCTAAAGCGGACATTGCCTTTGGCTGCATGGAGTCAAATTAAGAGAAATCCCATTCAACCTTGTTTACAAGTTTCAACACTTGAATGTGAGATGTAATGTAATCTACACCTCGATTAGGCTGACAGAAATCCTAATTATTTCGTTAAACTATTTTCAATTTGAGCGTCATTATTTATAGCCTACACGTTCTCGTGAATGGGACGGGTGTGGCTTTCTGTGACAATGATCAAGAGCAGCCGCTCACCGATTTGACAGCTCCAACGCAGTTAGGTTACACAAACTTCCGACACCGCCAAAATGTCAGCTATGTAGCTGTCGACTATTGCCGGTTAACACTTGATCTGACTGAATCTAGGCCTAAGGGGCACAAGTACATCTAGGTGAAGCGTATTTTGCAGACTGTTCCATGCTTCCGGTGCCCAATAGGAAAAGGCAGTCTTTCCTCACTCTGTAACAGCCCTCGGGACTTTTAGTAGCAACCACCTAGTAGACTGTGTCTAGTAATTACTAGTTGTGAAGGAGAGCAGGCTACCAAGGTAGAGGGGGAGTTTAGTTTACCCAGAAGGGTTTTGTAGATGAACCACAGAGAATGATAGAGTCCTTAGTGGCCAAAAGGCTATTTTAGCATGGGCAGCACCATTGAGGGCTTCACACCATGCTTCCGCTATTTTAAAGTAGTCAACATAGTCAACTGGGTGGGGATTCCTATTGGTTGTAGCCTCAATGGCACTACCCATGCTGTCACAGACGCTATAATAGCACAGATATAAAGATGAGTCCTCTATTGATCTCTATGAGATGAACCACCATTTGATGCAAGGTGCAATGGTAGGTTAGCATTTATAACAAAACGCAAATATACATGATAAACAGTCTCTTTAACACAGAAGAGGCTGCATGCATATACAATAAGTCACCATAATCAATTACAGAAAGAAAAGTGTCTTGAACAAGCTTCTTTCTAGCCTCAAACGGGAAACCTTGTTACGCAAATAAAAACCCAACTATAAGCACCTTTCTGAAATTGCTCTATGGCATTGGCATTGTTAAGTAAAAAAGGTTATCTATTTTCCTTGATGGTTTTTCCAGTTGTTTGAGAAATTGCTCATTCACTTTGTGCAAAGCATGTCTTGATGAATGTCCAGAACTGTTGGCTTGTTCCACTTATTTTCACCAGACATGACACAGTTTGATGAGTTTCCACCCTATTGCCTTGCATTTCCATTACTGCAGTCCAATGATGCAATTGAGAAAACTACTACCTAATACTGATTTTACACTTGATCTCATTTTAGTTGGAATTTCATTATTGTCACACCCCTGCCTAACCCCCGAAGTACGTAATTGTCCAAAGGTTGAAATGATTTGAATCAATGGTACTCTTCTACATCATAGAGATAGATTGTATTGTTTTTATGGTTTACATTTTCAATGGTAATTTCAAAATGTCATTATGATAGCACAATACTGAATTAATGAAGATCTTGTGTTTTTATGGACAAATATGAATGACCCAAGCAAATTTCTTTATTTCAAATTGAATACTATTTTCCTCAGTAATGACTGTCTCAGTCATCTTATGCTTGTCATACTGTAGGAAGCACGTTGTTCAACAATTTTTCTGCAGACATATTTTGGGAATGCAACTGCAACTGAGTTTTTCCACTTTACTAGTGAAATAGTAATTGAAATGATTAGCAATATCGAAAGGTTTTGTTATAAATTACCCATACATTTCAATGAACGATGGACATTAATTGGGTTTGACATAATTTATGGTACTCCAAAGTATTTTTCCAATGTGTGTTATGTTATTTATCTTGGTTTGGTAATATAATTTCTTATTTTTGTTAAGTTCAGTCACAAAATGTCTCAATTTACAGTATGTCAACCAATCAGCTGAGCAGAGGTTAATACTGTGTCATCTAAAATAGTTGTTCTTTGTACGGGGACAGTAAACACATCAGTGTGTCATACACATGTATTTATGGCTCATTTTAAAATAAAGTATTGTTTTTTCTCATTACAGAGCAACAAAGATGGGAAGGTCTTCTTGTTTGCGTGAGGCAACAGCTTTACTTGTGATAGGCATTCTGTGCTTGGTCATAATTTTTAGTAAAGAGGACATTCCTCCTGATGATCCCTCTAACCATGTCCACATAAACAGAATGGAATCAACCTATCAAAACAGACCTCAGAAACCAACCAGTGAGAGCGCAGGTGTTTTCACCTGGGGCCATTGTGAACGGAATGAGTCTGCGGCCAATGTGTCAGGGTTTTCCTCTCTGCCTGGTCACATCCAAGACTTCCTCTTCTATCGTCACTGCCGCCACTTCCCGATGCTGCTGGATGTACCTGATAAATGTGGAGGCCCTCACAAGTCTGCTGATGTCTTCCTTCTGCTTGTCATAAAAAGCTCACCTGTGAATTACGACCGCCGTGAGGTACTACGGAAAACCTGGGCCAAGGAGAGACTGCAAAATGGAATGTGGATCCGCAGGATATTTCTCTCTGGAACAACAGGCACAAGCTTTGAGAAGCGCAAACTAAACAAGCTTCTACGACTGGAGAACCGTGAGCATAATGATATCTTGCAGTGGGACTTCAACGACTCCTTCTTCAACCTCACCCTGAAGCAAATCTTGTTCTTAGAGTGGATGGATAAGAACTGCCGCCAGGCCAGATTTATCTTCAACGGTGACGATGATATCTTTGCCAACACAGATAACATGGTGGACTACCTTCACAGCCAGAAAAACAAAGATGGTGACAAGCACCTTTTTGCAGGTCATCTAATCCGCTATGTAGGACCCATTAGAGAGACAGGGAGCAAATACTATGTCCCAGTCCAGGTTCAAGAGTCAGACTCATATCCCCCTTACTGTGGTGGAGGGGGCTTCCTGCTCTCTGGATACACAGCTATAGTCATTTACAAAATGTCCCATACCATTCCCATTTTGCCAATTGACGATGTCTACATGGGAATGTGTTTGGAAAAGGCTGGTCTTAGGCCAGAGTCCCATTTTGGTGTCAGAACTGCTGGACTGCAAGTCCCCTCCCAGAAAGTGGATGCTTACAACCCTTGTTATTACAGGGAAATCATTTTAGTACACAGATTTCTGCCCCATCAGATATATATTATGTGGCATGGAATCCATGAACCTAACTTGAAATGTGGGAATTTGCAAGGTTCACTATAACCCTTGAAATCAGTTGCCTGCTCAGGTTTATTTTTCCAGTCTTTTTTGATAAGCTAATACTGAGGTGTGATCTCTCAAAGCAGGTTTTATTCCTGCTGTATTCCTGCAGCTGTTTGGACAATGCCGGATCTATTGACATATGCCAGGTTACTGTGAAATTTGACAGCTGGCATTGTTATTAATGTAAATGATTGACAACACATTATTGATTTATAATTTTCCCCAAAAAAGGGGTAGACGTGTATACCTGTCACGATGCATCCCTTTTATTTATTATACTTTAAAGGGCAATTGATGTCCATTTTGTTTCACTCTTTCTTTCCACTGCCGTCTGCTTTTTTGTTTTTGACCTTTTATCTGAACACTTTGCCTAGTGTAAACCACAGTGCCTCTGGAAGACCTCACCACCCACTAAGCTCAGAACAAATCTGAAGATCAGATAGCAAACTGTTGTGGTTGACTGCAAAATAGCAATATGTTAGACAGGGCATTCTTTGTCTTTAGGCAGTCTCTGTTTGTTCTTTGTAAATGTTTTCTTGAAAATGTTCTCTTTTTAAATGAATAATCAGAGGATGAATACCTGTGTGTCTTTCTGGGAATCTAATGCTGACTGCATGTTTATAGAATATCATTTTATATCCATTTGTGTAACAATGTTGTTGCAAATTGCATGTGTGATTTATTTATTTTTAATCACACACTCACACTCTCACACACACACACACACACACTTTTCAGGCTACCTGATGAGCTTCCCTGGTGTTTTCCAGAACGTTCCAATTATGAAATGATGATGCATTTCAGTCACTTACTGATGCAAATACCCTATAAATTGTTACACCTTTCCCGTTTTTCAAGTCATTTGACATCTTTTCTTATTAGCCTTATAAACATAGAAACAATGTTTAAAAATACCATAACTGTTTCTGTAGAAATATACTTGATCTTAAACCACTATTGTTTGTTAGTGTCAGAGTAAAATGTCATTTCGGTAATTTGTGTGGTATTAAAAAAGATCTGTCTAATGTCTCCAGTCATGTAAAACTACGTACAATTGCATGAAATAATTTGATAAAAAGGCCATTCTTTCCCAGACCCACTAATAATAGATGCATGCAATGCTTTATTATAAAGGTGATTTTTGGGGGGTTTCCAGGTTCCCACTTCATTGATATTGCAATCTAACCATGACAGAATCAGATCAGTGATTAAAAGAAGGTAGGCACAGTAGCACAATCATTCATTGATGCTGTTTTGAAAGGACACTAACTATTCAATGACATTGAGTTACCACTGAACATGTATCTAACTTGAATATTTTCCTTATGTTCATTTTCAACAAATTGGTTTATTTGAATGGATTAGGGACGTATACAAATTAACATTTGAAACAGGTATTCAATACAATGCATCATAGTTTAAGCAAGTTTTCAACGCTATTGATAGAGGAATTATGATTATGACTAAAATTGTTACCCCCAATACTGATGATGACTGTGTGAACTGTGTTAGGGTTATCATTATAAACCCACTAACAGAGGGGGGGAGTTAGAAACTGCTGAGACAAACATTCCAGGATGAAGGGGACTGAGAAACTGGTTAAAGGCCTCCTAAAGGTGGGCGGAGCAAAGTGCCTTTGTGTGAAGTGGTATAAAAGCTGTATATGTGTTTTTTGGCGGCAGAGCTCTCCATGATTAAACATACAGATCATTCTTGCTGGTTGTGGACCTTTGTTTAATTCATGATTAAACCAGAGCCTTACACCCTCTGGGAATTATTCAGAGCATTAAGTTTGATTAATTAGAGATAGAAATTCTCGTGACAGCTATTTGTGATACAATTTGCAGATTTTCCATGGCCACCCATGACTGGTTCTTGGTCCTCCCTACACCCCCTCCCCCATTAAAACATTTATAGAAATGCCCCTGCACCTTATCACCTTCTTTATGTATTGAAGTAGAGAGGTATTGTTGTTAAAATAACTGTTTCAAAAGCCACATTTATACAGTGCCTTCGGAAAGTATTCAGACCCCTTGACTTTTTGAACATTTTGTTACGTTACAGCCTTATTCTAAAATTGATTAAATTGTTTTTTTCCCCTCATCAATTTACACACATTAGAGGCTGCTGCTGCCTATTGAAATCACTGGCCACTTTAAGAATGTTTACATATCTTACACTACTCATCTCGTATGTATATACTGTATTCTATTCTGTAATATTCTACTGTATCTTAGTCCATGCCGCTCTGTCATTGCTTGTCCATATATGTATATATTCTTAAATTCCATTCCTTACTAGATTTGTGTGTATTGGATGTTGTAAAATTGTTAGACATTACTTGTTAGATATTACTGCACTCACTGTCGGAGCTAGAAGCAAAAGCATTTCGCTACACCCGCAATAACATCTGCTAAACACGTGTATGTGACAAATACAATTTGATTTGATTTGAATACCCCATAATGACAAAGCAAAAACAGTTTTTTTGACATTTTTGCTGAAATATTACATTTACATAAGTATTCAGACCTTTTACTCAGTACTTGAAGCACCTTTGGCAGCAATTACAGCATTGAGTCTTCTTGGGTATGACACTACAAGCTTGGTACACCTGTATTTGGGGAGTTTCTCCCATTCTTCTCTGCAGATCCTCTCAAGCTCTGTAAGGTTGGATGGGGAGCGTTGCAGCACAGCTATTTTCAGGTCTCTCCAGAGATGTTCGATCGGGTTCAAGTCCGGGCTTGTCGGGACTTGTCCCGAAGCCACTCCTGCGTTGTCTTGGCTGTGTGCTTAGGGTTGTTGTCCTGATGGAAGGTGAAACTTGGCCCCAGTCTGAGGTCCTGAGCGCTCTGGAGCAGGTTTTCATCAAGGATCTCTCTGTACTTTGCTCCGTTCATCCTGACTAGTCTCCCAGTCCCTGCCACTGAAAAACATCCCCAAAGCATGATGCTGCCACAACCATGCTTCACCGTAGGGATGGTACCAGGTTTCCTCCATACGTGACGCTTGGCATTCAGGCCAAAGAGTTCAATCTTGGTTTCATCAGACCAGAGAATCTTGTTTCTCATGGTCTGAGAGTCTTTAGGTGCCTTTTGGAAAACTCCAAGTGGGCTGTCATGTGCCTTTTACTGAGGAGTGGCTTCCGTCTGGTCACTCTACCATACAGGCCTGATTGGTGGAGTGCTGCAGAGATGGTTTTCCTTCTGGAAGTTTCTCCCATCTTCACAGAAGCACTCTAGAGCTCTGTCAGAGTGACCATTGGGTTCTTGGTCACCTCCCTGACCAAGGCCCTTCTCCCCCGATTGCTCAGTTTGGCCGGGCGGCCAGCTCTAGGAAGTGTCTTGGTGGTTCCAAACTTCTTCCATTTCAGAATGATGTAGGACACCGTGTTCTTGGGGACCTTCAATGCTGCAGACACAATCCTGTCTCGGAGCTCTACGGACAATTCTTTCAACCTCATGGCTTGGTTTTTGCTCTGACATGCACTGACATGGGACCTTATATAGACAGTTGTGTGCCTTTCCAAATCATGTCCAATCAACTGAATTTATGACAGGTGGACTCCAATCAAGTTGTAGAAACATTTCAAGGAGTATCAATGGAAACAGGATGCACCTGAGCTCAATTTTGAGTCTCATAGCAAAGGGTCTGAATACTTATGTAAATAAGGTATTTCTGTTGTCTATTTTTTATAAATTTGCAGAAAATTATAAAAACCTGTTTTCACTTTGTCATTATGAGGTATTGTGTGTAGATTGCTGAGGAATTGTTTTTATTTAATCCATTTTAGAATAAGGCTGTAACGTAACAAAATGTGGAAAAAGTCAAGGGGTCTGAATACTTTCCGAAGGCACTGTACCTGATGCAAACATGTGTCCTTTGTCCTTATCTTTTCCAAATTCTGTCTAACTTAGGTGTTTTGAGCAAAAGTGTCATTATTTTGCCAATAATGGGGGCCTCGAGGAAAAAATGGTCCGGTGTTGGGCCTCGAGGAAAATCATGGGCCTGTGTCGGGCTTCAAGGAAAAAAATTATCCGTTGTGTTAGAATTGCCAGGGCCGATTTTATGGTCCCAGTCTGCCCCTGGGTCAGGAAGATCAGATCACAATCAGATCACAATGCTATTTTAATCATCTACACCAGTCAAAGAATGTGGGCACAGTCAGAAAATAGACAAGATCAGGACAAAGGATGCATGTTAGCACCAGGTATAAATGGGGCTTAAGTCACCTTAAGTCATAAAATCTTCAGCTACAGATGTAGGATCTTAATTTGATCCAGTTTGCTACAGTAGAAAAATAATCCTGTAGCAACAGGAAATGTGAATTATTATGTGGAGTATAATTAATTGACATTTTTGTAGGGGTTGTTAAATTTTTCGTAAGGAAAATCAAGTCTGAAATTTCACAGTGGAAATTACAAACTCCAGGAGCCTTTTTAAACCTCAAATACACTACAAGTTTTAAATTTCCTGCATTGCAGGAAAGTTCTCCTGCAACAGGGTGATCAAATTAAGATCCTACATTTGTACTCTGTCTGTTATACATTTTATTTTATTTACTTGACATAAAGGGCAAAATTGTTGCCTGAGGTGGGGATTCAATCTGAGGCACGTTATAGAGTAGGCCTACTGTCGACAATTAGCCTTTTAAAGGCAATGTTCCCGTGTTTTAATGAAACCAATGAACGTGTTCACAATCACTCTGAGCCAGTTGCACAAAGTACAACTAAGTAATTTGTGTCTATTTCACAATAAGCTGTGATAGTGTGTTGCTCTACTACTAGGATATCTATCCAAATTCTATTTTTGTAACTCTACAGCCTATACCCAGGCTGTGTTTTATGAAGAAATTCTAGCAAGTCCTTTGGTTTAATACCAGAGCATGTCATCATTGGCTAGATTAAATGTATGTTTGTTTAAGGATTAATTAAGTCAGCATGCACTGTAGGTGACGTCATATCTGTCTGCTTTCATCGTGAGCTGTAATGTTGACATATTCAAGGAAGATCATATCTGTCTGCTTTCATCGTGAGCTGTAATGTTGACATATTCAAGGAAGAGGCATTTTCCAGTATAAGGAGTACCCTGCCCATCAAGTCATTCCTGATGAGGCATAGGTTTCTGCTCCTGCGAATGTCTTCGCTGGCACTCCCCTTACACGATTTGCCACCCTGTAAAGTGTAAAGGATCGGGGGTTGGCTGGGTCTAGACAGAGTCTGACACTTCCCCGATCTACAGAGAGGGGGAGTCATCAGACTCGATCTGGTTCACCTGAGTTCTGAGCACACCTGTCCGTAATTAGGGTAGGATATAAGGTGTGCTCAGAGGTTCAGTCGGTGCGAGGTATTGTTCCTTTGTGACTTGCTAAGCGTTTTGTTCCGAGAGAGAGAGAGAGAGAGAGAGAGAGAGAGAGAGAGAGAGAGAGAGAGAGAGAGAGAGAGAGATGAGAGAGAGAGAGAGAGAGAGAGAGAGAGAGAGAGAGAGAGAGAGAGAGAGAGAGAGAGAGAGAGAGAGAGAGAGAGAGAGAGAGAGAGAGAGAGAGAGTTTGTTGTTTTGATTAACCGTGTATCCGACCTGTGCCTTGTTTGACTCCCCGAATTGCTTAATCCTCTGCTTGTCTACCCCAGTGATTACCGTGCTCTGATCCTGTGCCTGTGCCCTCGACTACGACTAAGCCCGCTCCTTTGGTACCTCTGCCTGTCTA